AACAGGCTACAACCACAGGCCACATTCACAGGCCACCATTACAGGCGACAACCACAGGCCACCATTACAGGCCACAACCACAGGCCACAACCACAGGCCACAACCACAGGCAACATTCACAGGCCACCATTACAGGCCACAAACACAGGCCACAATCACAGGCCACCATTACAGGCCACAACCACAGGCCACCATCACAGGCCACAACCACAGTCCCCAAGCACAGGATAGTTGGACAGAAGCTGAGTGAGCCACTGCTCCAAATGAGGGTTGTGCCCTCTCCAGAAATTTTTTGGATAATTTTAAAATGAAGCGGTGCAGCCGGAATTCTGTGTCTCTTTCAGAAAAGATTGATCAAGGTAGGGGGCATTTCAGGGGGGCATGGCGTCTGTCAGTGGGCAAATTAGGTTATTACGGCACCCGGTGTCATGCATCATTTCAATTCACGTTGGTTGTGGCGCACCCCATGGCGTTCTTTTAGCCCCCAACTTAGTTTTCGCACCCGGTATAACATAGATCACTGCGGGGGGGGGGGGGAATCGTCATTGAGTCATCGTCTAGAAAAGTTTTTATAAATTAAAAAGCTGTGGTTCATTTTAGCGCTTTCCTGCATTTAGTTTTGCATCTTTGCGCTCTTAATCGGGGTGCAAAAAAAAATGTAGGCGTCTCTCAACCTGGCTGTGTTTAAACAAATGATAGATTTTAAGTGGCTACTACATACTAGTGTTGTTTTATAAGATATACTTTATTGAACCATTTATTTCGTTGAACTGCTTCTCGAATAAATACAATTTAAGAAAAATGTATACATATAATATATTTATATACATATATATTTCCAGACACCATGGGTTCAGTCACAAAAATAAAGTATGCCAATTACCTTCTTAAATATATCTTATGTTTAACCAGATACAAAAAAAAAAAAAAAAAAAAAAAAAAAACAAAAAAAAAAAAAAAAAAAAAAAAAAAAAAAATAAAAAAATATGTATACATATAATATATTTATATACATATATATTTCCAGACACCATGGGTTCAGTCAAAAAAATAAAGTATGCCAATTACCTTCTTAAATATATCTTATGTTTAACCAGATAAAAAAAAAAAAAAAAGAGGAAAAAACCCTGTTGTGTATAAAAATACTAAATGATAACATTTATAAAATTGTTTATTAAAGGCAAAAATTATTCTATGTACCGGTACCATATTTTTGAAACATGATGACAATGTACAGTAAAAACCCTGTCCCAGGTAAAACGTTGATATTATAGTATAAAGAAATAGAAAATGAAAGAATATTGCCAAAATGTTTGATGGATGGCAAGTACTAATTCAAAATCTAGGCCTTTAAAGGCGATGGGAAGTTAGTTTAATTCCGTACAGTCCTGAGCATAGGTTCCCTTGAATTTCCTCTGGGGAATGGGATGCTTGGGAGAAACACTGAACCCCCTACAGGGAGAAACACTGAACCCCCTGCAGGGAGAAACACTGAACCCCCTGCAGGGAGAAACACTGAACCCCCTGCAGGGAGAAACACTGAACCCCCTACAGGGAGAAACACTGAAACCCCTGCAGGGAGAAACACTGAACCCCCTGCAGGGAGAAACACTGAACCCCCTGCAGGGAGAAACACTGAACCCCCTACAGGGAGAAACACTGAACCCCCTGCAGGGAGAAACACTGAACCCCCTGCAGGGAGAAGCACTGAACCCCCTACAGGGAGAAACACTGAACAAACTACAGGGAGAAACACTGAACCCCCTACAGGGAGAAACACTGAACCCCCTACAGGGAGAAACACTGAACCCCCTACAGGGAGAAACACTGAACCCCCTACAGGGAGAAACACTGAACCCCCTACATGGAGAAACACTGAACACCCTGCAGGGAGAAACACTGAACCCCCTGCAGGGAGAAACACTGAACCCCCTGCAGGGAGAAACACTGAACCCCCTGCAGGGAGAAACACTGAACCCCCTGCAGGGAGAAACACTGAACCCCCTACAGGGAGAAACACTGAACCCCCTACAGGGAGAAACACTGAACAAACTACAGGGAGAAACACTGAACACCCTGCAGGGAGAAACACTGAACCCCCTGCAGGGAGAAACACTGAACCCCCTACAGGGAGAAACACTGAACCCCCTGCAGGGAGAAACACTGAACCCCCTACACACAAAACGCACCGAAATCCCCAGGCGTCAGGCGCACTATTTTTTAAATCGACCACCAAATAACGACAAGTCTGTGTAGTGATTGAGTTAATCACGTCCAGGACGCTTGTTATCTCCCTTCAAATGGCACCTGATCAGCGATATTAGAGAAAACCTTGGATTAAGTTGTTGGTGTTATCTTCGTCAGTCCCCGGAATTAGGACGCCAGGACTACGTCCCCGGTGTTGACAACGTTCGGCCGCCTGGTTGTGTCAGATCGTCGGATAAGTTTTTATCTCTGCTCATTCTTGACTCTGTTGGCTGACCTTTGTTGACTGACCAATGTTAAAGATAAGCTTGTACATCCCAACACGCGTTTCTTTCAACGATTCGCTTCAAACGCTCCACCTCTCTCCACCTTCGCCCGAGTCCCCGGCCTCTTCTTCTTTCCATCACCTCTTTTCCTCTTTCAATCCAACCCTTGTTCCTCTCCCTGCCTGCCCCATTCCTTCAGCTGTGGGCCAGATCTCAACTTAGCGTAATTATGACACCAACATCAGAAGGTAGCATTGTGTTAGAGTTGGTTTACTACTATTGAATGATTGAATACATTCAATCACACGCTGTGGGACTTGATACATGCACACATCCAAAATACGTTCTTATTAATCGTCCTTGCTTTCTTTCATTCCTTCACCACCACCCCACACCCCACCCCCAACCCTTTTTCATTAAATTCTTGAAATCTGATATTCATTTCTTTTAACATCATTACTGTCACAGGAACGTGTTATCTCCCTTACATGTATCACACTGACAGGTAACACTGACACAAACGTTGCTAACCAACTGATTCGGGCGCGGAGCGTCTGCAAAAAAAAAAGGTGTGGGTGGGGGGTAGAGAGTAGTACCATTGAGATGTTCACGTCAATTATTGTACAGTGGACAAAGAGTTTATTAACTGGCTAGTGTTGTACCGCATGTCATGACGCTAATGACGTACATACCGGCCAGTGTTGTACCATCAACCTGCACATTCCTCTAGTCCCAGAATGCATCAGCGACTAAAAAGGATGTTTAACGGTGATGTAGTTTTTCACTAAATAATTGTCGATCATTACTTTATTTTTTTTTTTAAAGCATTTGAAAAAGAAAAGTTTTAAAACTTAAATGTGGACTTTCTGATCATGATTATTCAATACATAAAAGACCTACAAACAACTTAAGTATTTAGTATTATTATAATATTGATAGGCAGTCGCTAATTATCAGTAATGTGTGGTATCAAACTTAACGTTTGTTTGTGTACATCAAAGCATACATAAGCCCGCATTTACAACTGCCACTTCAGATATAAAATACGATGCCGGGCTGACCTTCGTGTGCGGGACGATTGTGAAATCATTGCCAGATCCAACAACCGGGTTGAACAGGTTTACGAAAACCTTTATCCAGTTTGTTGAAAAGAAAGAAGAGAAAGGATGTTAACATCCCTAACCACAAGAGAGAATCGGCAGCGAACATCACCGTTTTCTAACCACAAGAGAGAATCAGCAGCGAACATCACCGTTTTCTACCCACAAGAGAGAATCAGCAGCGAACATCACCGTTTTCTAACCACAAGAGAGAATCAGCAGCGAACATCACCGTTTTCTACCCACAAGAGAGAATCAGCAGCGAACATCACCGTTTTCTACCCACAAGAGAGAATCAGCAGCGAACATCACCGTTTTCTACCCACAAGAGAGAATCAGCAGCGAACATCACCGTTTTCTACCCACAAGAGAGAATCAGCAGCGAACATCACCGTTTTCTACCCACAAGAGAGAATCAGCAGCGAACATCACCGTTTTCTACCCACAAGAGAGAATCAGCAGCGAACATCACCGTTTTCTACCCACAAGAGAGAATCAGCAGCGAACATCACCGTTTTCTACCCACAAGAGAGAATCAGCAGCGAACATCACCGTTTTCTACCCACAAGAGAGAATCAGCAGCGAACATCACCGTTTTCTACCCACAAGAGAGAATCAGCAGCGAACATCACCGTTTTAAAACGTGTGCAAAACTGCACTTTTGAAATCCTAGCTACTGAGGCTTTCCTAGAGATGAGCCCAAAATTGGCTACTTCCAAATACTGAACATTCTTGCCTATCTCCAAATACTGAAAATCTTGCCTATCTCCAAATACTGAAAATCTTGCCTATCTCCAAATACTGAACATTCTTGCCTATCTCCAAATACTGAAAATCTTGCCTATCTCCAAATACTGAAAATCTTGCCTATCTCCAAATACTGAACATTCTTGCCTGTCTTAAGATTTGTTTGATCAACTAGCAATAAATCTATTAACACCCCCAAACTTCCATTAAGTCAGTGGTTCTTAACCTGGGTTCTAGGGGTTCGGTGAGTCAATATCTGGGGTTCGGCGGAGGTCCAAAAAAAATCAGAATTTTTTTTTTTCCTATTAAGAAGGGTTCGGTGAATGCGCATATGAAACTGGTGGTACCTCCAAAAAGGTTAAGAACCACTGCATCAAGTATTATCCCTAACAGTCAACCACCTCAAGTTTTGACGCCGCCCATGGAAAAAGTACGCGGTACGCCCGTGCCAGGTGTGGGTCTGAGGCAGGGGAGGGGGGCTGGACAAATCAAAGAAAGGATTAAAGCACGTGACAGACGGTACAATGTCCGAATCACGAGACGGTTACCAGTCCGAAATGTCAATTATGTCTTGTTTTTTTCCCCCAACAGCTGACTCCTGTAATTAACGAAGGTGCAAAGTTCGGATGTACTTGAATATATAAGGCCCTCCATCAGAAATGACGCCTTCCATTGGAGATGACATGTTTATCAGCACTCGGTGAACATTTGATGTGTATATACCACAAGCACCCCCGTCTCTCTTTGCTCAGTCACGGTGTGTTGGTCTAAGTGGGTCACCGGTGACCTGTCAAACACTTTGTCCCGTGTTGTGTGTGTGTGTGTGTTTGGAAATAAAGGGGGCGTTACTTCCTAGAACAGCGCACATCCAACGATGAGCCGGTAAGTAAAGGGATCAGCTGTTGAAGGAGTTTGATTTTGTAGCCCCAAAAATGTGTTTTGTGTATTATATTAATTTTATTATCTGGCTTTTTTCATTTAAACAAGTTACAAGCAATCTGTTTTCTAGGAACGGAATTGTTAATTGTGTCATCTAGCTTTATTGAAAACGTTTGTTGTTTATAAACTTTAAAATCAGAGCTGTCATTCAAAAAGTGTAAGTGTAAGCAACGGTAAACCATCAGACTCAGTGTTGTTGACCAGTTGATAGCCGTTGTTTCTCGGACCTCGGCTGTTAAATTAAACGTCGTTAAACCGAATTAGTAAAGAAAAAAAATATTTTTTTTTTTTCAATCTATAAAATAAAGCCTACTTAAAATAAAATATATGGAGATTTACTGTCGGTATTGTGGTATGTTTATCTATAATCTGAAAAAATATGTGTGTTCAGAATTACTTTGGGACAGATCTGTCTGTATAGTATTGTGGTACGTTTTATTCTATACAATTAAATATATGTTGTGCAGATCTACTGTCTGTATGTTTATCTGTATAATATGCTGTGCAGATCTACTGTCTGTATGTTTATCTGTATAATATGCTGTGCAGATCTACTGACTGTATGTTTATCTGTATAATATGATGTGCAGATCTACTGTCTGTATGTTTATCTGTATAATATGCTGTGCAGATCTACTGTCTGTATTGTGGTAGGCCATAAGTCTCATAAAATTAAAATAAAGCCACCAAGTTGTTGGCATGTTTGTGAGAGGGGGGGGGGATGTGGATGTGAATCTTGACACACAGCCTACACCCTGAGCCCAGTCAACAAATCAATTAGTTGTATGCGCCTTTATGGACGGCGCGTCTGAGATGAGAACACATAAATATAATGAGATATAATGTGACCTGGTAGGGCTTAATTTAGTTGCCACCATTTTAACGAGTAAGTCATTGGGGCAAATGGTCGATTTCTGTTGTGGCGAATGATAGATTTCTGTTTTGGCAAATGATAGATTTCTGTTTTGGCAAATGATAGATTTCTGTTGTGGCAAATGATAGATTTCTGTTGCCGCGAATGGTAGATTTCTGTTGCCGCGAATGATAGATTTTGTCATACTAATTGGCGCTCCATAAGTACAGCTATTCATTGTAAACTTTGTTTATTAGTTTCATCTGGGGCAAAAGAAAAGTGTGAGTGTTTGGGGGAAAAAAAGGGGGTGGGGCGCGGCGCTACCTGAAACTGTATATGGCTTATGGCAGTGGTTCACAACATGTAGCTCGCGACCCTTTCACAGGGGTCACCTAAGACCATCGGAAAACACATATACTCTACAGTTATGAAGAAGCAATTACAATAATTTTGTGGTTGGGGGTCTCCACAACGCGAGTGACTGTACTAAAGGGTCGCGGCATTAGGGAGGTTGAGAACCACTGGCTTATGGCCTAATTTCATGTACACTGTCTTTTCTATGAATTCGATTCCACCCATTTTCATCCATACTATCCACAGTATCCATGGGCTTGCAGCAAAACATTAATTCAAATTATTTCTGTGAATCTCGTTTTATACAAAAGCAAACTTATTTGTTAGTTATAGAAATGCAAGCAGTATATTTTCTGGAGCACCAAACACTACTGTAGCCCTAGTTAAGGCATCAGCCCGACAAGCCACAGTTGTGCCAAATATTTTGTTCAGTTGGAATAAGAGCAATGTCTAAGTTGTTACTTAACGCCGTTTGATCATGCGTGACCTACAGTGGCGTGGCCTTGAGCAGTGGGAATGTTTAGAATCACATAGTATAGTAAAGGGAAAAAAAAACAATCTGATCCCCCCCCCACCCGTCTAGAAACACCACCGCCACCACCACCAGCACACTCAACAAACACCGGGGGGGGGGGCAGTGACGTGGACCTAAAGTTCTAAAGTTTTAAGCTAAAAGCTATTTTGTAAACAGGAAATTAATTAGAGGGGGGTAAAACCGTCACGCTTGTCTAGGCACAGTTTCCTCAATGACCTAGTTTCATTTTCTTTTCCTTTATGCTAATCGATAAGAACAGGTACGATAGGTTACCCTTGGCCTTGGCCATTGGCATATCGAGCCAGAGATGTGCACTTGGGTCACTTGGGTCATCTTAAGTCTCAACAAAATTTAGAAATGTTTTTAACATAAGCAGACATTTTTTTATTATTTTTTTAAAAATCTTACTCCCAGGTAAATAGTTGGATAAACCTTCGGAGTTGGGGTGGGGGGGGGGGTGTTAGTTTGCCAACAGATTTATGGCCATACTGAGCCTCTCAATGTAACCCAGTGTTACGGCCATACTGAGCCTCTCATTGTAACCCAGTGTTATGGCCATACTGAGTCTCTCAATGTAACCGAGTGTTATGGCCATACTGAGTATCTCATTGTAACCCAGTGTTATGGCCATACTGAGTCTCTCAATGTAACCGAGTGTTATGGCCATACTGAGTCTCTCAATGTAACCCAGTGTTATGGCCATACTGAGTCTCTTCCTGTAACCCAGTGTTATGGCCATACTGAGTTTCTCAATGTAACCGAGTGTTATGGCCATACTGAGTATCTCATTGTAACCCAGTGTTATGGCCATACTGAGTCTCTCAATGTAACCCAGTGTTATGGCCATACTGAGTCTCTCAATGTAACCGAGTGTTATGGCCATACTGAGTATCTCATTGTAACCCAGTGTTATGGCCATACTGAGTCTCTCATTGTAACCCAGTGTTATGGCCATACTGAGTCTCTCAATGTAACCGAGTGTTATGGCCATACTGAGTATCTCATTGTAACCCAGTGTTATGGCCATACTGAGTCTCTCAATGTAACCCAATGTTATGGCCATACTGAGTCTCTCAATGTAACCCAGTGTTATGGCCATACTGAGTCTCTTCCTGTAACCCAGTGTTATGGCCATACTGAGTTTCTTCATGTAACCCAGTGTTATGGCCATACTATGTCTCTTCATGTAACCCAGTGTTATGGCCATACTGAGTCTCTTCACGTAACCCAGAGTCTCACAATTTCAATGAGGCCACTACCTCATTGGTTTCACTGTACGCGTTTGAATTAAAGATTTTTTCGGGGCTCTTGGCATATCCAGCATAGTTGTCTAACCCGTCTGCTGTACACTGGCTGTCTGCTGTACAATGGCTATGTGCTGTACACTGGCTCTCTGGTGTACACTGGCTCGCTAACGCATAGGAGGTCAATTAATACAATTGCCCTATATATCTTCAGCTTGTTGATAAACCGAGACCCCTTCGCTCCCAGACACTCTTGGGGAGTCTTCCAAATGCGACATTTGTTTTGGAACGTATCTTCTTCTTTATTTTGAGGCCCCACGATCAATGAATTGATCATTCTGGCTCCTATGTTTCAGAGGGGTTTGCGATGCTACTGTGCATGGGTTTCAATGGGATGCTTCACTGGTTGCGAGGGCGACTCAGCAGTGGTGTTATGAACTGGGGGTTGGAATACAGGAGGCAATAGACACAAATGTATCGAGTGTAGCCGCCTCAACTGTTGCTTTTGGAAGCTTGTTCCAGTCCCCTATTGTCTTCGGCAGGAATGAGGAGCTCCTGTACTTTGTTCTTGTTTTTACCAGCCGGAACTGTCTGTCGTGGCTTCGTCGCAGTCTAGGGGGAAGATGAACGAGTTTCTGTTTGATTCCGGAGCAGTGGACCAGCCCATTCTTTATCTTGTACAACATGGTGAGCCTGGATAGTCGTCGTCGTTCTTCCAATGTAGACCAGCCCAGTGTTTCAAGCATGCTGCCAACACGTGAGGTGTTTCTGTAGCGGTTCATGACAAAGCGTGCTGCCCGTCGCTGGACCGCCTCCAACCTGTTGATGCTTTTCTGGGTAAATGGGTCCCAGACTGTAGAAGCGTACTCTAAAATAGGCCGGGCAAAGGCTTTATAGGCTTTTTCTTTGACGCTTGAGTTTCCGATCTTCAGATTGCGCCTTAGGAACCCCAGGGTCTTGTTTGCCCGGTTGCGCACACTGTTAATGTGCTCGTCCCAGCGGACCTCTCTTTGAATGGTAAAACGTATGGTGTTGCTCTCATCATCTCTTCTTGCTGACCTGAGATGGTTGCTGCCTAGTTATATGAAACGTTCACTTCGACATTCTGTCCCTTCACTGAAACGTGTTTGCAAGATTTTCCTAGAGCTGCCTGGTGCAAGTTCTTTTTTTTTTTTCTTCTCCCTCATGGGGTTCATTTAGAATATGAAACTAATGAGACGTATTAACAGTGGGCTACTAAAATGTTGTGGGCTCTTTGATTGTATATACCCCGGCCGATTTGATACTAAGACACATCATCGTCATCAGTCCGATTGGATACTAAGACACATCATCGTCATCAGCCCGATTGGGTACTAAGACACATCATAGTCTGTTGGAGAAAGAAATATTGTTCGTTCTGGAGCCAGCAGAGAAATAGTCGTGGTTGGTAGCAATGCCTCGTCCAGTCGATACTGTTGCCAGTTCATTCAATTGAACCTTAGACATTGGTCATCTTAAGAACGTTTTGATGTACTTCAATGTTGAACCACTTCGTTAACGAACTTGCTACGATGACCATTAGTGTCAACATTGTTGTGTACACCATCGTGGTACATCACTGTCAACATTGTTGTGTACACCATCGTGGTACATCACTGTCAACATTGTTGTGTACACCATCGTGGTACATCACTGTCAACATTGTTGTGTACACCATCGTGGTACATCACTGTCAACATTGTTTGTACACCATCGTGGTACATCACTGTCAACATTGTTTGTACACCATCGTGGTACATCACTGTCAACATTGTTGTGTACACCATCGTGGTACATCACTGTAAACATTGTTTTGTATACCATCGTGGTACATCACTGTCAACATTGTTTTGTACACCATCGTGGTACATCACTGTCAACATTGTTTTGTACACCATCGTGGTTCATCACTGTCAACATTGTTGTGTACACCATCGTGGTACATCACTGTCAACATTGTTTTGTACACCATCGTGGTACATCACTGTCAACATTGTTCTGTACACCATCGTGGTACATCACTGTCAACATTGTTTTGTTCACCATCGTGGTATTCGGGAAACAATCAGCCAGTGTTAGTAACATAAGAAATTGAGGACATTGTAAGGATGCATGTACTGCTCCTGGGATAATCTCTCAAGATCTTCAGTTTTTTAACTGATACACTGGGATGTCCACCCACGTGATACTATTGAAGGTCCACCCAACTGATACACTGGGATGTCCACACACGTGATACAATTGAAGGTCCACCCAACTGATACACTGGGATGTCCACACACGTGATACAATTGAAAGTCCACCCAACTGATACACCAGGATGTCCACCCAACTGATACACCAGGATGTTCACCCAACTGATACACCAGGATGTCCACCCAACTGATACACTGGGATGTCCACCCAACTGATACACTGGGATGTCCACCCACGTGATACAATTGAAGGTCCACCCAACTGATACACCAGGATGTCCAACCAACTGATACACCAGGATTTCCACCCAACTGATACACTGGGATGTCCACCCAACTGATACACTGGGATGTCCACCCAACTGATACACTGGGATGTCCACCCAACTGATACACCAGGATGTCCACCTAACTGATACACCGGGATGTCCACCCAACTGATACACCGGGATGTCCACCCAACTGATACACCGGGATGTCCACCCAACTGATACACTGGAATGTCCAACTATTATTATTCACCAAGAGAGCCCCAAACAACCACTGGGGAGAGGGGGTGGAAACATTACTCGGCACACTTCCTGGGCCACATGTTTGTGCCGTGCGCTGGGTAAACGAGAGAATGGGTTGAATTCCCATGACCTTTACCTTCCGGCTATATACCAAAAATTAACTATGAACTATAGGCTTAGGATTAGGTTGCTGTCATATTACAGTCGCTGCGATCCACTGTTATCAGTATAAAAGTGCACCCACCTTCTTGTGTGTGTGTGTGTGACTTGTCAACGTCCTTGCTGATTTATTTTATAAAACAAACATTGGGTTGGCTGTAGGCTGTAGGCTGTAGGCCGAAGATTTTAGGTGTTATGATTATTGAATTTTTTTTTTCATTCCAGAATCCTCAGCCATGTGGAATGTCTACATTCACTTGTTGTCCTTGAAACTGTCCTTGATGAGGAAATAGATCGTTTGGGTAAGTTACCCTCCATGAATTCCTGGGGGAAATCCTCCATAGTGTTTACTTGGAATTAAACAATGGAGATTGTCATTAAACCTGTTCTGTAAGTGGCGAACTTCATTAAATGTATCCAGTATTTTACTCACCCAGTAATTCTGGCAAACCATTTCATCCTTCTTGACTGGCGAGACACATTTTTACTTTATAAAGAATATAACCTCTCTTATCTGTTTCTCATTTACCTGTCTCTCTCTCTCTGACCTGACAGACATTGGACGTTGTGAATTTACAACATTATAACTAGATATTTAGAGATGTCCAATACACAAATCATCAGATACTTCTGTACTTGTAAATCAGCTCATAATTACAAAGCTATAGATAGGTGCCACTCAACTGTCTGTTGACAGGTAAGCAGAAAGTTAAAGACAGGTGTCACTCAAATGTCTGTTGACAGGTGAGAAGAAGGAATCAAAGGTCACATTCCAAAAACCCCCCAAAATTATGTAACAAAACCATAACATTTGTAGACAGTCATAAAGGAGTGCATGTTGTTTGTGACAGAATGATACTGTCATAAAAGGGTTGCATGTTGTTTGTGACAGAATCATACTGTCATAAAAGGGTTGTATGTTGTTTGTGACAGAATGATACTGTCATAAAACGGTTGCACATTGTTTGTGACAGAATGATACTGTCATAAAACGGTAGCATGTTGTTTGTGACAGAATGATACTGTCATAAAAGGGTTGCATGTTGTTTGTGACAGAATCATACTGTCATAAAAGGGTTGCATGTTGTTTGTGACAGAATGATACTGTCATAAAACGGTTGCACATTGCTTGTGACAGAATGATACTGTCATAAAATGGTAGCATGTTGTTTGTGACAGAATGATACTGTCATAAAATGGTAGCATGTTGTTTGTGACAGAATGATACTGTCATAAAACGGTTTCACATTGTTTGTGACAGAATGATACTGTCATAAAATGGTAGCATGTTGTTTGTGACAGAATGATACTGTCATAAAATGGTAGCATGTTGTTTGTGACAGAATGATACTGTCATAAAATGGTAGCATGTTGTTTGTGACAGAATGATACTGTCATAAAAATGGTAGCATGTTGTTTGTGACAGAATGATACTAACATAAAAAGGTTGCATGTTGTTTGTCACAGAATGATACTGTCATAAAAAGGTTGCATGTTGTTTGTGACAGAATGAGACTGTCATAAAAGGGCTGCATGTGTTTGTCACAGAATGATACTGTCATAAAAGGGATGCATGTTGTTTGTGACAGAATGATACTGTCATAAAATGGTAGCATGTTGTTTGTGACAGAATGATACTGTCATAAAATGGTTGCATGTTGTTTGTGACAGAATGATACTGTCATAAAATGGTAGCATGTTGTTTGTGACAGAATGATACTGTCATAAAAATGGTAGCATGTTGTTTGTGACAGAATGATACTAACATAAAAAGGTTGCATGTTGTTTGTCACAGAATGATACTGTCATAAAAAGGTTGCATGTTGTTTGTGACAGAATGAGACTGTCATAAAAGGGCTGCATGTGTTTGTCACAGAATGATACTGTCATAAAAGGGATGCATGTTGTTTGTGACAGAATGATACTGTCATAAAATGGTAGCATGTTGTTTGTGACAGAATGATACTGTCATAAAATGGTTGCATGTTGTTTGTGACAGAATTAGACTGCCATTAAGGGTTGTATGTGTCTTTCATTGAATGATACTGTCATAAAATGGTTGCAAGTTGTCTGTCACAGAATGAGACTACCAAAAAAAAACGCATTTGTGACTCTGATCTTTAAAAATTCATATCTTATAACTCTCCTTGATGACTTTCAGAATCAGAGTATGACTGGGACCGTCAGAAACGGATTTACCTGCAAGCCCTCGAGTGTGACAGATCTCACCTGGTGAAGTTGGATCACAAAATCTTGAAATGTCAGGAGTTGATTCAAGTCTACAGGAAGCTGTTACATGACACCTTTGATGAGAAGTTGGTGAGTTCCTTGTGACATTAAATGACACCTTTGATGAGAAGTTGGTGAGTTCCTTGCAATGGTATGTGACACCTTTGTTGAGAAGTTGGTGAGTTCCTTGTGACCTGCTTATCAAATATGAATGACCTTTTAAATTAAGTCTCTTTTATCAGAAGTGATTCACAAATGTATTGATGTTCAGAAAGACCTTGACATTCAATCCAATAAAACAGAGAATGGTGCAAAGCTCAATATGACCTAAACTACCAAGTGCAATCTGATGTACTCAAGTGCAATCTGATGTACACAAGAGCAATATGATGTACACAAGAGCAATATGATGTACACAAGAGCAATATGATGTACACAAGAGCAATATGATGTACACAAGAGCAATATGATGTACACAAGAACAATCTGATGTACACAAGAGCAATCTGATGTACACAAGAGCAATCTGATGAACACAAGAGCAATCTGATGTACACAAGAGCAATCCAATGTACACAAGAGCAATATGATGAACACACAAGCAATCCAATGTACACAAGAGCAATATGATGTACACAAGAGCAATATGATGAACACACAAGCAATCCAATGTACACAAGAGCAATATGATGTACACACGAGCAACCCAATGTACACAAGAGCAATCCAATGTATGCAAGAGCAATCCAATATATGCAATAACTATCCAATGTACGCAAGAGCAATACAATGTATACAAGAGCAATCTGATGTAAACATGAACAATCTGAAGTACACAAGAGCAATCTGATGTACACAAGAGCAATCTGTTATACATTCATTCTATAAAAAAAACATTGTTAACACTGATGAACATTTTAAACAATGAAATATTTATTAATTGCTGTAATTGATCTACCCTTACCTGTTTCTCATTTACCTGTGTCTCTCTTACCTGACAGGTGTTGTTCGACCTTGTAAATTCACAACATCAAAAGTATTCAGAAATTTCCAATACACAAAGCTGTGTTGCAAAACCTCATCAGACAGTGACCATGTCTTCCTGTCATTATCAAGCAGATGCCATGGCCCCGTGTCATGGTCTGCCAAGTCATTTGTCTCCATGTCAATGTCTGCCAAGTCTGGCAGATGATGTGTCTTCCTGTCCACACAAATCAAAGTCCAAGCACTCGAACAATTATGCGAAACATTTCAAACAAAAGTATGAAACATCAAAATGTTTCTCGGGGATCAGAACTTTCAACACGAAAAAAATCAAGTTACACAGAAATGACCGTAGAAGTAGGATATTGAATTCAGCCAGGAGGAGACAGTCCATCCATTGTGGAACAAAGAAATATCACTATAGGCATCAACAGACGTATTCAAGGAGGAGAGCCTTGAAGTATTCTTATGTGTCGTCACGGCAACAGAAGCCTAGCATTGATAATACAGCTCCGGAGCAGAAATCTTCCAACAATTACAAGGCATTCAACTGTCCCCAGCATGACTTGTATCGCAATAGTATTCCACTGAGCTCAAGTATGTTCACTATCAACCAGGGTCAACTATCACTTGAGTTATATAGATTAGATGACCCTAGGTCTGAGCCAATCAGCCTGGAAGTTGAGGATCCTTGGAGGCAGCAAGAGATGGAGAGAGACAATAGACTTAACCGGTGCTGTCTCAGGTGCAGTTATAACAGCCTGTCCTGGGAGGAATTCTTGTTTGATGAAGAAAGGGACTAGAGAGATTACAAAATTGAATGCCTTAAAAATGCCTTACCTCTGAAACTTGGGATAAATTTTTGTTTGATGAAGAAAGAGACTAGAGAGGGAAAAAAATTGAATGCCTTAAAAGTGCCTTACCTCTGAAACTTGGGATAAATTTTTGTTTGATGAAGAAAGAGACTAGAGAGATGAAAATATTGAATGCCTTAAAAAGGCCTTACCTCTGAACCTAAGTGTAGGACACTGGTGGTAAAATAAGGGTGTGCTGATGAAGGTCAGGGTGTTAAAATAATAAGGTTATGTGGGTCATTGTGGAGCAAGTAGGTCAGAAAATATGTCAACGTACTATATAAGCATGTCATGTAAGACGGTGTGATATGCGGTGTGATATGCGTCTCATGATGTGGGTCAGTGTGATCTTAGGTGTTTCCTGATGTAGGTCAGTGTGATCGTAAGTATCTAATGATGAGTGTCAGTGAGATCAAAGGTGTACCATGATGTGTGTCAGTGTGATCATAAGTGTGTCATGCTGTGTGTCAGAGAGATCAAAGGTGTGTCATGTGTGACACTTTGTAACACAACATTTACATAGGTAGATGGTCACAAAAGTGAAAGACATCAAATTAATACAATACATGGATCTGCAAGTTTTCTTTACTTACTATTAGAGAATTTTGATAAACATTTTATAGTTAGCACTTTGATTAGGCTAAATACTAGTTACAGGCGTCCTATAATTGAAATGTGTTTTCTTGTTGTCTTGTTCACTTAGATACCTTGACTTTGTTATTTAGATGCTACAAAACAGGACTGTAAAAACTATATTCTTTTTGTTTCTTTACGCTACCAGTTTTAATAGCCTTCAATTAAATACTTCTGAACCCACTTCAAGTTGAAGACAATACGGGTGGGATAATCCCAACTGACTGGATGGGAAATATTCCTTTGGATTATCAAAGCATAAAAAATTGGAATGTCTCATGTGAATGTGCTCTCAACTTACAGGTTACTTCCCTCTACTGTGAGAAAACATTAGTTTGAATTAACGCTCACCAATGTAGACTATAAGAAGAACCGAGACAATTACAGACTTGTAGTAGAAGCAGACTCAATGATAAAATGATTGATTCTTTTGCAAACCGTGTTGCATTTAACCTCATTTGGTTGGCATTTAAAACCGATGCCGGATTCATGAATAGGGGAAAACATTGTTTGCGTGAAACATGATAACTTCTTAAAATATTAATGCAACTAACGGGCGCGATTATGGTAGCTTTAGATATTTTGATTCTATTTCTTTTTAAATTTATTATTTTTTATGCACACTGACTGTCAGCACGACTGTCAGGACTGAATAGTTTTCAGCTGACACTGACTGTCAGGACTGAAGAGTTGCCAGCTGACACTGACTGTCAGGACAGAATAGTTGCCAGCTGACACAGACTGTCAGGACTGAACAGCTGATGCAGAGAACTCACAAAGCAAATAAACTTAAACCTGTAATCTTTAGTTACATCGGACACAACAATCTAGATATAAAATATGACCAGATTGGACACACTGATATAGGTAACATATATTACTAGACTAGACACACTGATATAGGTAACATATATTACTAGACTAGACACACTGATATAGGTAACATATATTACTAGACTAGACACACTGATATAGGTAACATATATTACTAGACTAGACACACTGATATAGGTAACATATATTACTAGACTAGACACACTGATATAGGTAACATATATTACTAGACTAGACACACTGATGTAGGTAACATATATTACTAGACTAGACACACTGATGTAGGTAACATATATTACTAGACTAGACACACTGATGTAGGTAACATATATTACTAGACTAGACACACTGATATAGGTAACATATATTACTAGACTAGACACACTGATATAGGTAACATATATTACTAGACTAGACACACTGATGTAGGTAACATATATTACTAGACTAGACACACTGATGTAGGTAACATATATTACTAGACTAGACACACTGATGTAGGTAACATATATTACTAGACTAGACACACTGATGTAGGTAACATATATTACTAGACTAGACACACTGATGTAGGTAACATATATTACTAGACTAGACACACTGATGTAGGTAACATATATTACTAGACTAGACACACTGATGTAGGTAACATATATTACTAGACTAGACACACTGATGTAGGTAACATATATTACTAGACTAGACACACTGATATAGGTAACATATATTACTAGACTAGACATACTGATGTAGGTAACATATATTACTAGACTAGACACACTGATGTAGGTAACATATATTACTAGACTAGACACACTGATATAGGTAACATATATTACTAGACTAGACACACTGATGTAGGTAACATATATTACTAGACTAGACACACTGATATAGGTAACATATATTACTAGACTAGACACACTGATATAGGTAACATATATTACTAGACTAGACACCTGATATAGGTAACATATATTACTAGACTAGACACACTGATATAGGTAACATTACTAGACTAGACACCTGATATAGGTAACATATATTACTAGACTAGACACACTGATATATGTTACATATATTACTAGACTAGACACACTTATGTAGGTAATATGATCATATTGGTCTGACAGAGGTAGGTGATATAATAAATGAGCAGACTGGGCACAGATGTAGGTAATATATTATAGGACTAGATTGGTCTCACTGATGTTGGTAATATGACCAGATTGGGTCCACCAATGCAGGAAATATATTTAATGGTTAGATTGGACATATGGATGTAAATAGTATATATTCTTTGTTTAGTTTGGACACACTGATTCATGTACTGTATATATGACTAGATTGGACACAATGATGAAAATAATATAGTGTATGTTCAGTTTGGACACACTGATGTATGTAGTATATTATATGAGTAGATTGGACACATGGATGTATAAATAATATATTGTATGTTTAGTTTGGTCACACTGATGTAGAGAGTATTATGTAAACTGCTATGCATGTCTGGTCTGGCTTTGATTCACTGTTGCGGTGAAATAATGAATTGTTACAGGCAACTGCATTTTCTACATTACAAATAAATCCATTAAAAATTTCATCTGTTTTTTTTTTCTTCCATTAATTGAAATCTGAAAAAATCCAGTTTTTTTTTTTAATCCAAGGGAATTCAAAAGCGGGTTCAATTTTCAAAACTTAAAAAAAAATATTTTTTTTTAAATATATACTTAGTAATTTTTTCCATTTAGTGATGAGCTTACTGATATTTTTCAAACAGGAATTGAAATAATGGGAAGGTAGGTGTATTTATTGAGTGTATGTACTGATGGGTATGCTTTTAAACATCACTGAACACATTGGGACATGATGATATTATTTAAATGCAACTCAAAATTCAAATATTGGAATATTTTAATGATACATGACATTCATCTAAATCCCACGTGAGATTATAATTGAAGACAAATGGTCCTCAAGTAACACAAGTCAGCATAATTCCCAAATATGTACACAAGAGTCACATGATAAGGAGATAGCATTGTTACAAAAACTGTTGTTTGTTTTAAAAGCACAAAAATATTTCTTGTTTATCATATTCAAGATGAATGGACATTTTCTTGACATTAAAAAAAAAAAAAAATTCATATATGATAATTGTGGAAATCATTTCACTTTAATATAAACCCCATAATTTGGGTAAGTTGAATCAATTACACCTGAAGTTATGAAAAATTTATTCAATTCTGACCACATAAATCAAAGTGAACTTCTAATATTTTGTTTAAAATGTTTAAAAATACTATTCCAATAATTCCCTGATTATTGTCATGTAACAAAGAATTTCTATTAAATCAACTGTACAAACACGTCCTTACCACCACCCAACAGTCAACAATGTGTAGAGTCATTGGTAATAGGTAATGTGCTCAATAAATAATCAATGAGACCTGCACATCAGGGTTGAGGTACCTAATAATGGGAGACTCCAGCTTCAGCCATCACAACAAAGAAGGAACACAAATCTGCAGCCAATGATTTCAAGCCTTTGGAAATAATGCTTACAAAACAACTGGGCCAACTGGAAGCTTCGAGAACATACAATTAAGGACACACCACATCCAGCATGGTGTTTGTGTTGGAATCGGATCAACTGCAGTTCAGGACCAAAATGTAAACAGTAGGCACCTGACAAGACGTTGAATTAAAAAATGGGGAGAAATAATTATGGACATTTGCTGATCATAACAAGGGGAGGACACTACTGTTACTTGAGCTGATGAATATATTTTGAGTTACAGTTCCTAGGTACAGCTGCAGTTTTTTTACTGCAGTTTTGTTTAATAAGAGTACAATTAGACAGACTATGTTTTAAGTGTGAGCTAATAAGTAAATAAGTTACAATGGCAAATCATATAAACCATTTATTAACCGTATGAGACACGTTACATATGTACAGCTTCCTGGAGCATGCTATCTAGGTATATATAAGACAAGATTTACTTCTTTCTTTGGTCATTACAATCTGTGGGAAATCCCTGTAAGTTGAGGCATGAATTCAAGGCATTAGAAATGGAAAATAACCCTGAACATTTACCTTTTACACAAATTTATTTCTAGCTTATAAAGATTTATGAGTATTTTCGTACATTCATTGTTGAAATAAATTTCATCTGATTTGTCTGACATGTTTTTCACCATGTCTTCATGGAACAAGCCGACAGATTATTCTCCTCTATGGTCAAACTAAAATTGGCCAAAAAATCATCCACATTGTCTAAATAACAAAGACAAATGTTGCTAATCTAATTTGATGTCATTTGGATCACTTGTGCATTATGTAGCATTGAGCTAGGTTGGAATTAATCAATAACAAAACAATTGCAGCATTTTGAAGAGAAAAAAAATAATGACAGAACCACATGAGCCACAGATACTCTGACAGCCATGTGATGACAGTGACACAGTCACCCTGACAACGATTTCATCCAACTGTTTCAGTGTAAGATCATCAGGTTCTGGTAGTGACCCCCGTGATATCAATATTGGTTATTTTAAATCCACCCCTGAAAATTAAACCATGTTGTACACAGGAACAGAACTGACACAGTCATTGCCCATGTTGTATACAGAAACAGGACTGACAGAGTCGTTGTCCATGTTGTACACAGAAACAGGACTGACAGAGTCATTGCCCATGTTGTACACAGGAACAGGACTGACAGACTCGTTGTCCATGTTGTACACAGGAACAGGCCTGACAGAGTCGTTGACCATGTTGTACACAGAAACAGGACTGACAGAGTCATTGCCCATGTTGTACACAGGAACAGGACTGACAGAGTCGTTGTCCATGTTGTACACAGGAACAGGCCTGACAGAGTCGTTGCCCATGTTATACACAGAAACAGAACTGACAGAGCCTTGAAATAGAACAAAAAATAAAAACCCATTGTGTCATTTATAGATTGAACAATTTGAATGTCCACATAGTTCATAATGTCATACATAGTAAACATTAGAGAGAAGAATAAAAACAACATTAAGACATCAACTTTAAGGCATTCTGATCTTCTGTTAGCCCGGCATAAACAAGAGTATTGATACGACTGGTGGGTCACAGACTTGTCATGGAGTCACTTGGACGGTGCACGAAAATGTGCACATTACTGCACCAAGTAAAAGTTGTGTGCGCCAGTTGCCAAAACAGTGTAACAAACTTTCTAATTTCTTTACACAGGTAAGGAGAGGGGAAATGTGGGTGGCAAGGGAGGGGGTAAGTTAACAAGGTTGTGAATGTGACAAACAATGAGTCAGTATACTATTAGAAAGAAAAGAGAAAAGTCTCATAAGAAATGGACTTTGTTTTTCAAAAATACAAAAGTTTAAAAAAATTTTTTAATTTTGCAACTTGAATATAAAGTGTGTTTTTTTCTTTAAAGTTATCAAAAAGTCAGAAATGTTAGGAAAGTGAAACAATCGAAAGCTTGAGCCCTGGTCAGTGGAGGCTTCATTCGTTGAATGCTTTGTCACTCACAATTCAACCTGTCTCAACCACTCAGTGACCGTTTCTTAAGGGATGTGCGTATTTATATTTTTAGAACCACTTGACCAGTTTATAAAACAGTGAAGGATGTAACCTGATGGGAACAGTTATGAAGATCCATGTTAATGGTATTTATTTATATACATAAAGAGAGATTCTATTGCATAAGTAACTGAGCAAGGTATAACACTAGAAGTGATAACAAGCTTTGTACAATAGGAGAAATTCTTACAACACAACCATACAATCTTCAACCATTAAACAATCAAATAGATTTACATGGGGCGTCAATAATTTACCATTGGTAAAACACGGAGCTCATTCACTAATACAATAAATTTGCCATTGGTAAAACAGGGAGCTCATTTAGCATTCCAATAAATTTACCATTGGTAAAACATGGAGCTCATTAAACAATCCAATAAATTACATGGAATAGACTGAAAATACAAATTAAGAAGAATGTTTGTTCAGTGTTGCCTGAATCAGGCACAAATTTAGTGTGGCCTCCCCTTATTCCTAATATTTCATAAATTAATTAAACTGGTTTTCAAACAGTGTAAATCC